TGTGTGTGTGTGTGTGTGTGTGTGTGTGTGTGTGTGTGTGTGTGTGTGTGTGTGTGTGTGTTGCAGTATGTAAACTAAATCAATTCAAGTTCTTTACGCTGAGTCACTCGGTGGGGAAGAACTTTGGCGTGAGGAAGTAGAACCAAAATTGTAATAAAGTGCTTTTGTGTGTATCAGGAGAATGAAACTGGCCTCACATTGACTCCATATTTCATGAATCAGTACATAACTACGGAGCCCCTCTGATGACATGGTCCAAAAAATAAATAAATTGTGGCCACAAAATACTACTTCGTGGGCACGAAATGGGTATAACGTGCCCACGAAATACTTATTTGTGGCCACGAAACACTTGACCGATAACCGTGATCCTTTCCAGGCCCTTGCAGTTGGTTCACATTAAAATCTATCCCGGCGTCCAGGTTGTACTTGCATTTATAAAGCAACTGGGCTCTCAATATCCTGTTTAAATGTTTCTCTGTAATAATGGTTCCTTGCATTGCCAGGCTTTTCTAAATGCATTTGTAGCTCATTCCCAACCGTAAAATAAAACTCAATCATACTGTCTCTGTACATGGTGTATAGGTTTAGCCTACTCTTATGCCTATGGTTCTACGCAACTGTCCAGGAATTGTATCAATATGATGTGCGCACGTCATCTATTTTGTTGCCACAAATGTTTAATTCGTTGCCACGTTATACCTATTTCGTGCCCTCGAAATAGTATTTCATGGCCACAAATAAGTATTTCGTGCGCACGTTATATTATTTCGAGGGCACGAAGTAGTATTTTGTGGCCACAAGTTATTTATTTTTTGGACCATGTCATCAGAGGGGCTCCGTACATAACAGACATCAGGTCAGATTTTATGGTTTTCTGAAGTTATGGTCATTTTATAAAAAATGTTTTGTAAATTGTCTATATTACATTTACTTTTACAAAAGCACTGAAATAAAGTCTGTGTTTCATAAAAATATTATGATGATAATGTGTCAGGTGTGAAAATGTAGCTGTCATTTTTTTGTTTTGAATTTGATGCAATTTTTTACATATTTTTTACATATTATATATCATGATCATGAAACTTCCTCAACTGAAACTTATTTTTGCATTAAAGATTCTGAATTTTTTTAATATGCAATAGAGGCATTATCTATATGCCATATGTGACAACTTGTGAAGCTAATTTTCCAGATCATAACTGAACACTGGATTGTATAAAAGCAGCTTGTTTCAGTTTGTTCAGTCAAAAATGGACTGTCCTGCGGTCTGACCAACAAAAATGTGAATTGTAATCTAATTCAATGTTTCATATGCAAGACACAAACACAATACAACATACAGGCAAAGCTAGTTTCTTAATTTCTTTTGGGAACATTGGATGCGCCATGCTTTAGAGCTTCCTGTTAGCACACAGTTAAAAAGAAGCATCCATTTCTTTGTCTGAGGGTCATGTCTATAAAGAAGGCTGCATTAATGCTAGACAAAAGATCCGCCTGTGAAGTTTTACAATTCTCGTCTTATGTTAATCAGTCTTGAATGCTTTACTTTTGGAAGGCTTAAATACAAACTAACTGCCATTTACACACAACTTAAAAAAACGGGAAAAACAGTTTCCTAGTAGCAGGGATATTAGTTCCACACAGAGGCTGAACACAGTTATATCTACAAATCAGACCTTATGCAGTGACGTGCGCTCCACCAGCTGGAACGGGGCAGGGTCGATCTTGCAGTTGTTGAAGTTGACCTGCTCATCAAGCTGCCTCTCTTCCCACTCTGCGATCTGAAAGTCACATAGAGGATCAGTGAAAGTTTGCAGCAATATATGATTTTCACCAGCCTGTACACTACTGATCAGTTAATTAACTTTAGTGAACTTTATTATGTTAAGTTCAGATGACACAGGCTTGTTTTTAATTAACAATTAACTTTGACTATCTATATGTGAGTGACAGGCTAAAGTGTACAGTGTAATGTCTTTATATGCATTGTCAGTCACTAATCAGAAGGCAAAGTGTAAAATAATCCTTCCTGACAAATCACATTCCTCTAACAGACAATCGATGGACCAGGCACCACAATGAATGACTCTATAAATCATAACGAGGCCTACAACACCAGATGAAGGGAAAGGTGAGAGGCGAAAAAGGAAGGGAGACGTACAGAAGAAGCAGTGACATGGCAGATGTAAGAGAGGTGAACGATAAGTTGGGGAGGGTCTGGAGAGGCAAAGTGTGAGGAATGTGTGGCTGACAGAGAGGAAATGAGAGGTGCTGTTGATGGATGAATTATGAATGATGTCATATCCAAAAATATAAGACTCCAGGGTAATAGGCCCATCTGGGGATATTGAGAAAAGCTAGAAAGCCAAGACTGTCAGGCTGTGATGTCACCAAAGTGGAGGCTGAAGTTGCAGTCAGAAAAACATAGATTTCTAAGACCAACAAAACTAAATGCACTTGATAGCTCAACAGATTCAGTGCTGTCTGTGTAGTTATAGCCGAAGTTATACCACAGCATCTTCATTAAAAACATACTGTAGTTTACTGAGTCTAAAATCTCATGTGTCCTCGCATCACTAAAGGTTATTTCTCCCCTGAAAATAGTTTTTAAAAAAAAACCCCAAAAGATTATGCTAAACAGTACAATGTCCAAGTGTGGCAGAAAACTGAACCGCTTTCAAACTGAAAACAACATAGCATGGTGAGATTAACTAGCTAATCTCAAGGTGGGTTGAAATTGTCTGATGGCTTACGTTACATTCTTCAACTTGTCTGATTGGCTAGCTTGTAAGAGCCACGCTCCTAAAAGTTAACCTGCCCATAGGTGTTGTGCAAGTGCAAGCTGCTTTGAAACCCACCTTCAGCCCAGCTTCTCTTTTGCATGTCATTTCTGAATTGATAAATGTTAAATCTGTTTATTTAAACATTGATACATGTTAAATCTTGCTCTGGTGTGTTATTGGTCTTGCTGCTCTTCAGCTTTTTATGTATCCACACAGAAGGGTGGTGAGGTCGCAGAACATATGCAGGCCTCCAAATATAACTTACTGCAAATAAAAGTAACAGAGACTGCACTAGTTCTGACTTTGATACATTTTGGTGACTCATTCGACAGTACTTAAGAGCTAAATTAACTGGGTGCTTTGGTATTGGAATGGGATTTGGACGGAGTTGGAATAAAATGCCTTTCCTTTACTTCACTTAGAATGAATTCTATCATCATTATTAAAGACTATTTAATGCTAATTTTGATAATACTTACTTTTTTTCTTTTTTTTTTAACAGAGGACTTTTAGGTTTATTCTGAAAGAGCTTTTAAACCATCCTGTGACCACCAGCATCTTTAAAGAGGACCTAATATATTCATTTCTAACCTTATTATTTTATTCTCTGATGCTATTGCTCTGCATGAATCACTTTCAAAGCTTCTCTCCCTTTAAGCCAACTTTCTCCTGATTGGCTACACTTTGCATCTAAGAATATATCCGAGGAGATAATAGGAATAGCCCCTCTCAATGACATCATAAAGACCCAAGAGTTTGAAACAGCATTTAGAGCAGTATGAAGGCTGAGCTTTGGGCCCACAGGGACTACTTGTAAATATACTGACCTCTTTTATAAAAACTTTGGCCATGGTAAATGTGTATACCCTTATTAGAATGGTATATATCAGGCAGGAAATGAGGAAAAGAATAACAGGCTACCTTTAAAATTCAGGGAGCCTATGCAGGCAAGATGAGATAACCTGATGATATCACTATGACATAACCAGGGACTATTTTCCCATCTTGACAAACTTCCTCCTGTGTTTTCACTGGCTGTGTAGTACCCCTAATGAAGTGAAAAATTTTGTAGTGCCTCCATTTTTTAATTCGCCAAAACAACACACTGATCTCTTACGCTCTCATTGCTCGGACTGGTTGTGCATCTTACCTCTCTAATGGTCATGTCATCTTCCACATCTCCATCATCCTGTAGATGAAAAGCAACAGAACAACAGTCAGTAGAGAAAATAAAGCTAACCAGTGTACTTTGTACAGTCTGTATGCCACAAATACACAGGCAAACAAAAGTAAACGAATGGGTGACAAACAATGGACCTCGTGGGTTATTACCTACATAAATATTCACTTGTACTTTTTAAGTGCGCCCCCTTCACTACATCTGTGCACAGAAGGCTAAATGACACATAATCGCCCATGCATCACATCATAAGTGTTGTACTGCGCCGCTGTCTCGAGACAGATGGACAGAAATGGGATGAATGACTAAAGGAGCGACTACAGTATATTTAATGAGTGCGGGGGATGTGATGTATGAGATGTCAGAGCAGATGATCATTATAATGATGGATTGGCGGCATGCTCAGAACTCACAGCTCTTAACTGACAGGCGGACGCAGCAGGCACGGTTTGACGAGCGGAAGTCAAACTAGCAACCCTGTGCTTTGCAGAGATAAACCAAAAACACTACAGAGGTCTGGCTGAGAGGAAACTTACAGCTGAGTGGAAGGGTGCACTACCACGGGGTGTGTAAGCATGTGTGTGTTTAGTTGTGTGCTTGAGTGCAGGTATTTACATTCACAGGACTGGACGCAGCGCAACATGTGTGTGTGAGAGAGAAAGAGAGACATAAAGAAAGGCAGGGGGAATGTGACCCGAGGGCTGATGGAAGCCCTGAGCTCATTTATCCTCATCACCATAGTGGCCGACCTGTCGGTAACCCTAGCAACTGTTGCCGTGGGGTAGAAAGAGGTGCCCTACTGTAGCATTATGCAAGCAGAGGCCAGACGTGCCTGGAGTTTATGAGACAAAACAAACACGTAGACGCAACTACAGCACTTCAGCTCCTCTGTCTCACTGATCATTCTGCTTGTCACACAACACAAGGGCGCTCTGAATGTCACCAAGACACACCGTTGTTCCAGGGGTCAAATGTAAAACACAGGAAGTTGGGGAGGTTTCTGCAGAGGGGGGTGGGTCTCTGCATAGGAAATAGGGGCTTTTAGATAGATTAGCTGCTCTACTAAGACCAAATCTCTGCAATTTTGCAGAAGTGTGTGTGTGTGTGTGTGTGTGTGTGTGTGTGTGTGTGTGTGTGTGTGTGTGTGTGTGTGAGAGAGAGAATGAAGTGGGAGGGTAAAGTTTTCGAGTCTCTGTGACACTGACAGTCAATTCAGAGAAACTGCGTGGGCATATTCAAATGAGAATTGAATGAGCATGTGAGTGCACAGAGACATATTGAGAGGCACTGAGCTCCAGAGTGCTGACAATGGGCTGATGAAACCATTATCGCCTGTTGTGCTGCAGGTTTGATCAAACAAAAAGTCAAAGGGTCGTTTGCCCTTTCACTTGCTCCTCCTACAGCAGTCATCTTTACTTTGAGTCAGTGGAACCATCCACAGGGCAGTGAAGAAATTTAAGTACATTTACTTTATTATCCAAAAGTTACAAAACAATACTTTGCCCCCAATGTCACAAATATTTATGAGTCACAACAGCAATAACATGCTGATACTGACACTGCTAAAATCATGCTTCTGTCTTTCATGGCTTTAGAGTAAAACTATTCACCTCTGAGCATTTGACCATAACCTCCTAGGACCCGAACTCTTCCACAGCATGCATTTTTAATTTCTCTTTGATATTTGGGCATATTGGGGCCCGATGAATATAAAAACAAAGAATTACCAGATTATTATTTTAACCTTATTTTTGTTTTTAAGAAAAATAAGAGCCACATATGAGGATATTCGTTTAAAATTTTGATAGAACAGTAGCAGTATAATGTCCTCATAAGTGGATATCAGGCCCTTGTAGAGCAAAATTGAGTATTTTGGTCTAAATAACCCAAAATGTGGTGTCCACATATGTGGACGCCAGGTCCTAGGAGGTTAAAGAATTCATTCACTTTCTGTGTGTCTGGAACACCACGACCATGTGCTGCCTGGCTGTTGAGTTTTCTTGGACTTAACCACCAGCTCATCAGAGCAGAATCATGCAGAACACAAAGGACCAAATAACTACACATAACAAATATTGGGGACATCTATTTATGTTTTGTAGGTCTGAAAGGAAAAATATCAGCTGATAATGACAGAAATATTGGTATTGTTCATAAAAATCCTGTATCACTTGGATTCCATTTAACATTATATCCAGAAAACCTGTAACCAAGAAGAAGCTTTGTACAGGTGATGTCTACTCACCCATTTAAAATTTCATATTGAGGCTCAAGGTAGTGCTGGTGCGTTGCGTATACTTTTTGTAAGTTTTCACTGCATAAGGTTTGATATTAAAGTAAATTACAGCCCTTACTGTTGAAAACAATCATCCAGTGCTTGCATTAGCAATGTCGATCAATTCCCTAGTTTTATCTAGATATTTTATTGTTTGACTTCAAGAAAAACAAAACGGCCAAAAATACAAAACTCGAGGTGCAAAAAATGGTGACTATGGCCATCTTTTTTATACAGTCTGAGGCTCACATCTCATGAGATGTGGTCAAGTCATTGCAATGTTCATTTTTGTTGTTTATACTTTTGCGGGCTCCAAATCAAATTTCAGCTTGTTGCTTTCAGGTAAGATTAAAATGTTACCTGAAAGCACTGTAGTGGGTCTCTGGTCTTTGGACTGGGGTTTTAAATAGGGCCCTGCTGCTCTCTGTCCTCTGAATGGCTGTTACAACTGGTGCAGTGATTATAAAAGGTGCCATAAAGTTTTATGGGCTGTGTTTATACTCAGTATAGTGTTGTATGCTCCTTCTCCAACTACACAGCACTGAATGGCACGATAGGGAAACATTGCAAATATAGTTGCTTGAAAGACTTTAACATAGTTTCAAAGTAACATCATTAATGGTTTCATTCAACTACAGTGGAACAATAACGAAACTGTGGAGTGACACATTGTTATGACTGCTGGTTAAAGTTGTGAAAAAGGGGACGAGTAAATCTTTTTAATATTGTGACTAAAACCAGCACAAAGTTGTCCACACTGAACCTCTGATATCAAACATCAAATCAGTTCACCCTCAAAAAAAATTACAGCCAGCATGTCACACTCATTTTCTCTAGATAAGTTCACCCTCTCTGCAGTGTTGTCTGAAATTATTCAGGAAATGAAAACTTCATCCTGTCCCCAGAATATTCTTCCTATCAGATACCTGAAGGACAATTTTAATGGAGTCAGTGTCTTTGTAATACAAAGAACTTGCTGCTATTGAACCCATTCTGAAAGGACTAACACTTGACCCTGATGACTTTAATAATTTCTGCCCCGTTTCAAATTTTTACAAAAGAATGTGTCCCGTACTGTAATCTGTGTCTGTTTTAGACAGACAACCATTTCAGGCAGACAGAGATCATTACAAAAGTGAGAATGTTCATTCCACCCAGAACAAAAATTTCCAGACAGATTTGTTCAGCACTATCAGCCAAACTCATCACTGGTCTTAGTCCTTTAGACTTAACCTTGTGTTTAATGAAGTTAATCATTCTGTCTTCTTGGACTCTCTTTGGGACCAGGCCCGAGTTCAGCTTCTAATAAAAGGTTTTCTCTGATGTCTGTATACAGATAATTCCTGTTACACACTGGTTGCCACTCTTTTAGTAGCCAATAATCCTCTTCTTTCATGTCATTTCAGTCAGATTAGATTGGACCAGCGATTCATAAATCAAAAGATTTGTTTTCAAGTCCTTACTAGCTTCTTGTAACAACTAGTTGGTACGAGACTGTTTAAAACTAGCGTCTTTATGTGAACTAAATCTACATTGCTTTTACATTTTTTAAAAATTGTTTTAGTAATAAGTGTAGTTGTTTATGGCTTTTTTTGGTGCGTAGGCACACAAGTCACATCAAACATGTGGAGCTGCCTGCTGTGAGTTAAGGAGTAGGTGAAAGTAGTTTTGATTTCAGGATTTGCTAATTTTTGTATGCTTTTCTATAGTTATTGTTACGGACTTGCTGTCTACCGCTCTGCTCTTGTATTTACTGTTTAATTAATATTCTATTTCAGCCCAGTTCATTTTTCTTTTGAAAGTTATTGTTTTCTATGAATAAATGCAAAGCTAGGACTACTGTACATTTAAAAGCTATTAAAAATTACAGAATTAAATTAAAAAACTGGGATGACTTTCACTTGTTTAGAAATACATAAATAGGGAGATATATTGCAAGAAGTAGCATTTATACATTATAAAATACATGAGAACTATCCAATTAGAGCAGGGCGATATGACCAAAAATATTTATCACGATATACATTTGAAAATTTGCGATAACGATATAACTGACGATATAATTGACACTAGACAAAATACTTTACAACTCCACAACTTTATTAGTGCAAAAAAACCCCAAAAACCATCAATGTATTTTCACTTAAACAAGCAGCTGTTTTTTATGTCCATTAAAGTTATATAAAAATTTAACAGTGCAAATGCAAATTCCTTGCTGACAGTTTAACCAAAAATTTCCAGTGGAAATTGGCCGACATATCCTCAGCATAACCATGTATAATATCCACAAAACTTAAAAAGAGGTTAAACACACACACAATACGGTAACATTATGTTGAAGCACAGTACGTATCACTCCGCGAGGCTCCTGCCAATGATAGTCGTAATGCTCAGACAATCCATCAAGCGGTGCGGCTTCGTAGCTTAACCAAGTCGTACTAAAACATTTGACCGATGTTCGAGCGCCGTGTACCACATAAAATCGTTTCAAGGTCAGTAAACACAACCAGAATTCATACATAAGGCACACGGGATTATAAGGGGCTCTGTCGACTTTCAGAAAAATCAAAGGATTGATTTTAAGTGTGCCGTATTTTCCAAACAACACGGTAATAACGACGGCCCGCTAGCATGCTCTACCAAAAATAGTGCTTTGTTGTGTATGTGACGGACGAAAAGCAAAACCAGTTCCACATCATTGAAGTTGCAGCATTTTTACAAACCAATTCTGGTT